CATACACAGGCTAGAAAAAATTTCCATAGCCGTCGCGTAGAAATGCGTGATATTGATGACACCTGGCAAGCAGATTTAGTTGAAATGCTACCTTATTCAAAAATAAACAAAGGTTACAATTATTTACTTACAGTCATAGATATCTTATCCAAGTATGCTTGGGCTGTTCCAGTAAAAAGTAAAAATGGAAAAGATGTGACTAACGCAATGAAATTCATATTTGAAAAAGGACGTATTCCAAAGAACCTTCATTCCGATAAAGGTAAAGAATTCTACAATTCTCAATTTGAAGCTTTAATGAAAAAGTACAAAATTAATTTTTATTCAACATACAGTAACTTGAAAGCATCTATTGTTGAAAGATTTAACAGAACACTTAAAAGGAAAATGTGGATGCAATTCAGTTTACGAGGAAATTACAAGTGGTATGATATATTACCTAACCTCATTTCTACTTATAATGACACAAAACATAGAACAATTGGAATGAAGCCTAATGATGTTACTGCACAACATGTTGATATTTTAAAAGATCGAATCTCCAAGCTCAGAAAAATTCCGTTAAGACGATCTAAATTTAAAATTGGTGACAAAGTGCGAGTTAGCAAATATAAAAATATTTTCGAAAAAGGTTATACTCCTAATTGGACTACTGAAATATTTACAATTGATAAAGTTGAATCAACTCAACCTGTGACTTACAAACTCAAGGATTACCAAGATCAACCCATCAGTGGAGGATTCTATGAAGAGGAGCTTCTAAAAGTGAAATATTCAGACATTTATCTTGTTGAGAAAATTCTCAGGACACGTGGAAACAAAGTTCTTGTCAAGTGGCTTGGTTTCGATAACTCTCACAACACTTGGGAAGACAAAGCAAATGTATAATTTATAGTTAATGTTAAATCAATGTTAAATCAATGTTGAATCAATGTTGAATCAATGTTGAATCAATGTTGAATCAATGTTAAATCAATGTTGAATCAATGTTGAATCAATGTTAAATCAATGTTAAATCAATGTTGAATCAATGTTGAATCAATGTTAAATCAATGTTGAATCAATGTTGAATCAATGTTAAATCAATGTTGAATCAATGTTGAATCAATGTTAAATCAATGTTAAATCAATGTTGAATCAATGTTGAATCAATGTTGAATCAATGTTGAATCAATGTTGAATCAATGTTGAATCAATGTTAAATCAATGTTATAATGTATATATGTAAGGAATTTTTAAATAAAAAACACATGAAATTAAAATACAATTGTTCTATTTATTTCTTTTATCACAGCCTTTACATTTCCCGACATTTTTTTCTCGAACTTATCAACTATTTACAAATCGTCGAGATTTGGGATCGCATAGTGACCACACGGTAGAGTATCAGTACTCCCCGGTAACAAATACCGCTTGTCGTCTTGCGGACTTAAAGCTACTTTTACCTGCTTTACAGTTTCAAGATTGTGAAGCCGCGATCGAATATTATATTGTGTTCGAGTTTGAATGTCAAAATCTCGCAGACATTTTACATAATCATCAAATTGAATTGTCTTTTTAACAACGCCGGCTTTAACACCTTTAGCTTTTTTAATAAAATCTTTATCTTCGACCCGTACACTGTACATCTTACTCCGCAAGCCAACAAATTCAGTTACAATTCTGCCGTTGCACTCATCTTTCATGAGGCCGAGGACTTTTTTGTTGACTTGCGGAATATCATAGACGTTATTCGCGGGATAATCAGATGTATCAAACTTGTCAATATCCTTTTTCATGTCTTTGTAAATATCTTCACACTTGATTTCGTAGATAAGACTGTCTGTATCGGTATACAGCAGTTTACAAGCATCGCCGTATTTTTTCAACATGTGACCATAATGGAAATCGTAAATTAGCGTCTTAGATATATCAAGCACACTTAACCCTACATAGATGGGTTTGTTGAGCAGTACCTCGACTTTGCGCAATTCAATAGCAACCAGATTTTCGTCGAAAATCGCTCGACTTTTGAAATTTGGGCGGGAGATTAGAGCTTCAGCTCCATAGCGGCCAAACCATTTTGTGACGAGTTTAATGTCAACATGTTTGCGGACATTTTCCATCGTCTTGCCGTACACCGCATTGTTCATAAGCTTGAACAAATTCTTTTCGAACTCATTTTTAGCATTGGTTCGCATCATTGTGTTATAGTCGATGTATGGTTTAAGCCAGGTTGATTGCTTAAACTGCAAGACACGGTGGATTTTCACAATTTTAATATCGTTTGCCACAACTTGTTTGAGCGTACGATAATGAATAACATATTTTTCTTTAGGCATGAGAGTGGTTAACAATTTCTCCTGTTTTGACAATGGAGGTTTCTTATTTTCAGCGCAGAATGGCATGTCTTTATGAGTATCATGAATGTCTTTCGGATACTCCAAATCTACTTCTAGGATGTACCCAAAAGGGGAATCGTCAGGTACATGAAAATTAAAAGAGTCGTCAACATTTTCAACCCATTTGAAACCGCCATAAGGGAGCGATTGAGCCATTGCCCAACCATACAAATTGTTGGCATCGAAGTACATGAGGTAGCTTGTATCTTCGTTTTTGTCGAAATTCTCCATATATGGATTATTCGCTTTTGCATAGCGGTTGCAACATTGACTAATGCCGCCTCGAATACCCGACTCAACAAACATCATCATATCAATATCGGTTATAAGTTGTAATCGTATACTCGTGTACTTGAGCATAGCATCCCAAGTTAAACCGGGGGTTGTATAATAGTTCGCAGGATCTAACTTGTACGCAATTACACATTGTTCGCGGAAGTTTTCAAAGACATCGGCAAGTAACAATACATCTGTTTTCATGTACAAGTGGACATAGTCGTAGAGATTTTGACAATCAAATTCGGACCAAACTTTCTGCGCATGCTCATAATCTTCATCAGAAATACCGGCATCATAAAGAGTACTGTAAAATTTCTCTTTCGGGGGCAATTCTGTCTCATCAAGCTTACTTTTTGAGTCAAAGTACTCATAGGGGAAAACACCCTTTCGCGTTAATAACTTAATTTTATCTGGATCAGTCACCGTACTGGCAAAAACGGCGTTTACAATTTTATACTCGTCCAAGTAGGATGCGAGTTTTTCTAGGGATGATGCCATGAATCTGAAAGAGTCAATGAATCGAAACTTGACCTCACTCGCCTTGAAATGTTTTGTGAAGGCGATATACTTCTCTTTGTTAATGGGGAGGAGATCAATTTTACCTTCAAAGCTCGTTGAAATCGCGTGAATTATAAAATGGGCGTCATAGCCACTTAAATTGTGGAACACTACAGGGATCGTTTGACAATCTTGAAAATTTAAATTGCACGACTCATGCGCAGCACCCCTATACTTGCCAGTAAGATGACAATGATCTCGGACTTTTTTATCGCTTGCCGCTATTTTCTGATGACAAATATGGCATATTGTCGCTCGCTTAAAATCGCTGATTTCTTGAGGAGTTAATACAGTCATTGGTATCGGATTTTTAAATACTTCATCAATTTTTTCAGCAATCTGCTTTAACTCCCCAGCAAACCATTTAGCTGGGTCAGCTTCATGCTTCGGACACGGTACATACACGGATTGAGATTCGTCGTAGCTACAATTCAAATAATAGCCGATGCTTAATAGCTTATGGCGTTGAAATACTTCAGTCTTACTCAAATTGTTTACATCTTCATCAGCTGGAAGAAGTAAACTTTCACAGTCGGCGTAAATCACATACGGAACTTTTTCTCTATTTTTATAATTTTTAAACTTGATAATACTGTCTTTCGGCTTTGGCAACGTTATTTTACACTCATTCACTTTCTTACAATCTTCAGTGTGAGCATTCAGTTTTTCTACAGAATGAAAATAGTGTAAGCATCGATCGCAGATATACTTTTTACCTCCATGATTTGATAATTGCTTAAATAGAAGGGCAGACAAACTCTTTATCCATACATAATGGAAATTCATAAAATCACCACCATCACATATTACATTCTCTTTAACACCCTCATCCGCATACATATCCGCAACGTACAAAAGATTTACATGTTTATCTCTTTTCTCCATAGTGAGGTGAAGAGGATGTACTGAGAAATCACCATAATATTTTGATAAACCATAGACATTAATCGAAATATCATTCAGTTTCTCAAATTTCGGGACATTTTTTAACGTTACTGGGAATTCAATTCCCTCGAAATTTAATTCATTTTTAAATTTCTTAAAATTTCCTACTCGTTTAGGATCTGATACTTCAGGGTGCAAAGCTGAGAGTACAGCCCACTTGAAACACTCATTGTCATCATTTTGAACATTGATGCAAGCTTTTTTATTCTTAATTTGTGCAGGTAAACCAATATAAGAGCTTGCATGCATCGGATTATACTTATTTACATTGATTTCTAACCTTATAATCGATTGAAGATTCCAATTCGAACCCTTTGCGTGAAACTCTTCCACACTGCGCAAAATTGGTTGTTTGATGTTCTCATCGAACCAATTATCTAAGAGAGTGGTAGGGAAAATACTTTTAGCCTTAGAACCAAAAGGTATAGGCTTAACGACCTCCTCACCATTCTCAACCCTTTTAAAATGTGCGATGAGAAACCATACACCAAAATGACGCCATGTTTGTTTAGAGCACCTCTAATGTGATCCTGGAAAAGTGTGGACGCATCGTCCAAGAATGCACTAATGTCAATATGTACAAGATTTAGGATCGCATTAGTGTACAATCTGCACGCAAAAGCACTCTCACATTCTTCCCAGCGAACACGTTTATTAATATTTGGATCACCAATTCCAGCGCCATCTACAATGTGAGATTCAAACAACGCGCGAAATCTAATGATAGATTGTAGAATGCTCACACATCTTTGTTTTTGATGTGTGAAGTACATCGATTTTAGGATGCTAGACAACAAGTTTTCATATCTCGAGCATTCTGCAATCCATCGTTCAATAAATGATCGTCTTGAGTCGACGTCTCTGAGGATTGGCACCAGCTCCAGAGCTTCCTTGATGAGTGGAATCGTGACGTCACACTCATCGAGGATGGTCTTGTAGTTTGGATGTTTTCGCGGTCCATCGGTGGATGTAGCCTTCCGCTTCATCTCTACACTTGAAATTAAACTTACAAGCTATCAAACTTAACCTAAAAGCGCAAACTTAAAATTAAAGTACTTAACCTAGAAAAGAACACACTTAACCTAAGAAATATAAAAGATAAATACAATAAACACAATAAGTACAATAAATATAAAAAAAAAATACAATAAAAATCAAAAAATATCAAATAATACAATAAATATAAAAAAAAGACAGTTAGTAAATGGCAAGGGAGACTGCTGCTGCTGGAACACCTGCGAACAGAAGAGAGAATGACTAAATTCGCTCGCGATCCCGAATATATACCCGAAATTTTGCTCGCGCATGCGCACTAGAACTTTTACCCCCACTCCTACCTTTCGCACACCCCACTCTTACATTTACTCCAACCCATTCGCGCATGCGTAAAAGAATGTATACGGATATATCAAAAAATTGAACTTTTATTAAAAATTAATATTAATATTTAAAATGAAGGCAGCTTGGCGGCGATGACGCCTTCGTCGCTGCCTTCCCTCTGGGCCGGGTGGTGGTGTCGACGCCCTGGCCTCTGGTGGAGCTGTCGGCACCCTGACCTCCGGTGGAGGTGTTGGCGACCTGGCCACTGGTGGAGCTGTCGGCACCCTGACCTCCGGTGGAGGTGTTGGCGACCTGGCCACTGGGGTTGACTGCGCCCTAGGTTGCGGCGTCGGCGACCTGGACCTTGGTGGAGAGCCCAACTCCACCCAGGATGGTGGCGTTTCTGGCCTGTGCCATGGATACCTGGGTGGAGTCCCCGGTGGCGTCGTCGGGAACGGCAACTCATTACCTTCATTCTGTAACTAAAGAAATTATATTACATTACATTATATTACATTATATTACCTTATATTACCTTATATTACATTATATTACATTATATTAAGTTATATTACATTATACTTACATTATGCACAGACACCCTCATGACGTGGCACCGGTAGCAGGTGCACCACTGCTCCATAGTTGACCGCTGGTTGTGGTCCCTACAAGCAGATTATACTTCTCTACCGCGGTGCTCAGAATCTTATAGCCCTCACCCTACCACGCACTCACCCCACCACGCGCTCTCATCACCTTGTGTGAGCGGCCGTTGAGTGAAGCTCCTACAATTTGAACACGCCGTCGGTAACGCGCGAAATTTAAATTCAAAGATTATTCCTACACTTTATAATATTTAATATAATAAATAAATTACAATAATTAATACTACAATTAAATGTAGTGAATTAGAAACAATAAACTGAAGTAATAATTAATATTATATCACCTATAAGTAGTGATATTTAATATATAAAATAATGATACTAAAAATTAGTTATAAATAATTAAACTTACCTTAATTATGTAAAGTAGAATATATTACATAAAAATAGTTAAATAAGTTATTAATAATAAGCAATAAATAAAATATATATTGAAAATAATAATTATTTAAAATTGAAAATTACAATAAATTATAAATATACATATTAATGAACTGTTTTGTACAAGATAAAGTTATGAGGTTGAATGAAATTTAACTTTGTTAAATGATAAGTAAAAATTAAGTTAATATTAAATCAAATTTTATATAGGTTTTAATTTTATTCAACAATTGTAAATAAACTTTTAATATTATGTCAATTTTAAGTCATAGTTCAATAATTATTATTGAATATATATAAAAAATTATGAGAAAATAATGTAAAATTCGTTCAAAAAATAAAATATAACGTATGTAAAAATATGTAAAATTAATACAAAAAAAATATATAACGCATATGAGAATATGTACAAATAAAATACAACATAGTGGATAAGAATAATAATTAAATATATTTAACATACATATGTACAGATATATACATAGTAAAATGTATATAGTTAACAACTAAACAAATTTTTTACACATGTACATTTTGCTGAAATAATATATACTAAAAAAATAAATGATAAAAAATTAGTGATGAAGAAAATATAAGAAATACAAACATTATAATATTGATCTCGAAGATGATGACATAATGTAAATAAGAGTAAATATTAATGGAATAGTTATAAGAAAAAAAAAACGTATAGAGATAATATAAAATAATAAAAGAAGCAGAATATCAAAGTATAAGATTTTACAATGCATGAAAAAAATAAGAAGTCAAGCTTTGAAATATATAAAAAATATAAATGCGTCTTTCTTCAAAAGAAAATATTAAATTGAATATTAAATAAAAACATTCAATGTATAAAGAAAATTAAAAAATTAAAAGTAAATAAAAAGTAAATAAAAGAAGTTAACAACTTTTTTATTTTATTAAATTCAGTAAAGAAAAAAAAATGTATAGAAAGAAGAATAAAAATTAATGGAATAGTTATAAGAAAAAAAAACTAGAAATAATACAAAATAAAAAGAAGCTGAACATTACAGTCTAAGATTTTACAAAACATGAAAAAAAATAAGAAGTCAAGCTTTGAAATATATAAAAAATACTTTTTTCTTCCAAAGAAAAAATTAAATTGAATATGAAATCAAAATATTCAATATGAAAAAGAAAATTAAAAAAAAATAGGATGTGAAGAGAAATTCAACGCCGTTTTCTTTGGCTAGCGGTTGCAAGACGCTTCATCGCTTTACTCAAACGTTGTCTGGATGAAGTTTTTAAAGGAAGTGCAGGAATCTGAATTGCTCGTCGTTGAGCTGGTGCTTGATTTGGTTGTACTCGTAGGGCTGCTCGTAGTTCATGATGATCATTCCGTGGTATGTGAGCAATCCTGATTCTTGCTCTCGGTGCTGGTATTGGTAATTCATCTTGCAATACTTTCGGTGCTGGTATTGGTAATTCATCTTGCAATACTTTCGGTGCTGGTATTGGTAATTCATCTTGCAATACTCTCGGTGCTGGGATTGGTAATTCACCTTGCAATACTCTCGGTGCTGGTATTGGCATCCGAGGGCGAGTTCGTGATCTGATCCATGGTTGTGGATCCCCTGTAGGATCGTAAACGAAGTCAATTCGTACATTTCTTTGAAATTCCAGCAATGCCTCTGCTGCTTCAATCTCATTAAAATCAATTGGTAGATTCTCTGGAACTTCGACTGGACCAGGATCTGCCTCTTCCATTAGTTGATTGTCATCAAGATTTAAAACATCATCCAAGATATCATCCGGAATATTAGGTAAGAGTTCAGCATCAGCAGGTTGCTGATCCCAGTGGACGTCTCTTCTTATAAACAATTCCGGATGATATGGGTCATATTCTTGTCCATTCATGTTGTTAACTGCTTGCAACAAAGGATTCTGAAAAATATGATAATTTATAAAGTAAACATAGTAACTGACATTTCTATAGATAAAATAATTAACTTAAATAATAATAAGTTCAACTAAACGTTGTGTATAATAGTTTTTTTAATAGATTTAATATTTTGTGACATATTGTGTTTAATGAAAGAAAATTTTAACTGGAAGGAAATTTGAAATAACTTAATTTTATCACTGAGGAATAGAAACAAAAAATTTTGACAGGTTTAATATTGAACTAAAAAAAAACTGAAAAATCCTTTTTTTTTGATAAAACACTGGGACATTAATATTGAAATTAGTAAAAGAAATATAATTTGAGGTTAACATAGTAACTGACATTTCTATAGATAAAATAATTAACTTAAATAATAATAAATTCAACTAAACGGAAATTTTGAATATTGAGATGTGTAAAAAATAATATACATACGGCTTCTCTCTGCATCCTTCGAAATCTGCAATCGATATTATTGCAAAAGCAATATGCTCTGCAGTTGTTCGGATCCTATTAAAAATAAAGTATATTAACACATTATAAAGTTTTAGTTAAGAAACATATAAAATGATACTCACCATGATAATTTACTAGCACGTGCTGGCACGATTCACCGGTTTGTATATGTCCAAGCTTAGGTTAGGTTGTAAAATGGCGGCTCAGGGACGATGCAATTAGAAAATTTCACAAACTTTTTTTCACAATTTATTTAAAAATTCATTGTCGATATTATCATATTTGATGTATTAAGAAAAGATTTTCAGTTAATTGTAAAACTGATAAATTAATTTAAAAAGATTTATGAAATAATACATCTAAAACATTGAAAAAAATATGAACCTTTAAATATTACCGCCACATACTATAGTGTAAAGATGAGGAAATCACAAACAATAATTTTTGAGATTAATTAAAATATATATTGGATAATCATTCATATTATAGATAATTTATTAATTATTATACATTAATTATTTAAATTTACAATATACATTGCATTTCTTATAAATTTCATTGTAAGCAATAACTACATTTTTCTCAACAGAATCAACCAATGAGAAAGGCATATTCCATCAGGGCTGGTAGACTTTCACATCGAGAGTATCGATAATCAAGTCACTATGAAATTCAATTTAACTTTAAAAATACTGATAGTAAAAATAATAAATTATACTTACCTTCATAAACAATTAACAGTAATTTTATAATAAATTAATTACTAGTTATAATTGTAACATTATTTGAAAATTTAACTATTATAATAAATTTAATATATATTTATAAATAAACAAAAAATATTTCCAATGATAAAATTATTGATATCTTTTAGGTTTCACACCGCGAAAATCAAAATATCAAGAGATTTTAATCTCCGGAAGTAAAAAAAAAACAAAATGGCGGACAAGCAAATTCTCAAATAAAATTTTAAATTTCCCGCCAAAATTTAAAAATTCAAGTAGCCCAATTGGGCTAATAGATAGTGGCGCCATCTGTCGGGTGTCCGTTCAACTAATTCGGTCGGTAAAACAAAATGGCGGCCAAGCCAATTATCTAATAAATTTTTAATTTCCCGCCAAAATTTAAAAATTCATGTAGCCCAATTGGGCTAATAGATAGTGGCGTCATCTGTCGGGTGTCCGTTCAACTTATTCGGTCGGTAAAACAAAATGGCGGCCAAGCCAATTTAAATTATCTAATAAATTTTTAATTTCCCGCCAAAATTTAAAAATTCGTGTAGCCCAATTGGGCTACTAGATAGTGGCGCCATCTGTTGGGTGTACGCTCAAATAACTCGGTCGGTAAAACAAAATGGCGGCCAAGCAAATTTAAATTATCTAATAAATTTTAAATTTCCCGCCAAGCAGATTTGAATTCGCTAGTGGCGCCATCTATTGGGTGGCTAGTTAACTAACTCGGTCGGTAAAACAGATTCCTACCTTACCAACTGGGTTTGAATTCGACCAGCTGCTGATAATGTAGAAATCTACCTTACCGACTGGGGGTAACTTAGCCGAGATCAGAACCTGCCCCAGAATCACCACAGCTATACTACTCGCTATAGTTCGCCAAAGTATGCTTATAGTTTAGATTTATTTAATATTTAAACTTTAATGGCCATAAAATGTAACTTCTTCTTGGTCTTCTTCTTTAACTTTCTTCTTGGTTTAAGAGAGGTCGCCATAGTTTGCCCATAGTTTATATTTATTTAATTTTAAAACTGAAATGGCCAGAAAATTTAACTTCTTCTTGGTCCATAGTTCAAGAGATGTCGCTATAATTCGCCAAAGTATGACCATAGCTTAGATTTATTTAATTTTAAAACTGAAATGGACAAAAAATTTAACTTCTTCTTGGCCCATAGTTCAAGAGAGGTTGCCATAGTTCTCCACAGTTTAGATTTATTTAATTTTAAAACTGAAATAGCCAGAAAATTTAATTTCTTTTTGGCCCATAGTTCAAGAGACATTGCTATAGTTCGCCATAGTTTGCTCATAGTTTATATTTATTTAATTTTAAAACTGAAATGGCCTGAAAATTTAACTTCTTCTTGGCCTATAGTTCAAGAGAGGTCGCCATAGTTTGACCATAGTTTAGATTTATTTAATTTTTAAACTTTAATGGCCAGAAAATTTAAATTCTTCTTGGTCTTCTTCTTGGTTCAAGAGAGGTCGCCATAGTTTAGCGTTATTTAATTTTCAAATATAAATGGCTAGAAAATTTGATTTTACTCTTCCCGCAGTTCAAGAGAGGTCGCTATAGTTCGCCAAAGTATGCT